AGTCACGTATTCAAAATCCTTTATTTTGAAAAATCCCATGTATTAAAACCTGCCCTGCAAGAGCGAGGAGGGGGTGCGTGCACCCGCCCCCCCGTGCCGGTGCGCGCGCGCGCCTCGACGGCGATCGCAGCGCACACCCTCGCCTGGACGCGCCCCGGCCCGCCCAAGTCGGGAGCCTTGAGACGGGGGTCAGTGCAAACGGGGGTCAGCCAGGGCACCGGATCCTGCAGGATCCTGCGAAGACCCCCTCTGGCTGGCCCAGGTCAGCGAGCCGCTCGTGGCCACGAGGCGGCCGCGCATATTGGCTGACCCAGGTTTGCGAAGATTTGCAATGCGGTTTTTGGTTTCCCGCTGACCCGGGTCTGGATTGACCCGGGTCAGAAGATCCCCGACCAAGCCTTACCGTTCACCGCACCCCTTCCGCCACCTCCCTGGGTTAAGTCGGGCACGTCCCTCTATAGGAGGAATATGCAAAGATAGCCAAGAACATGTTAGGGGGACGATTTCTGGATTCTTTTTTGACCATTATCGATATATATATATATATATATATATATATATATATCTACTTTGCGGGGGGATTTTTTGAGTTTTCGTCCAACATCCGCCTGTTGGAGGACGCGCCCGACCTAACCCTGGGTCATGATTGCTGCTCGGAACCAGAGAACATCCAGCAGGGCTGGGACAAGGTCAGATCCGTCCGAGAGCGTGCCGGAAGGCTCTCTCAAGAGCGCTCCAGAATGCTCTGAGGAGGCCACGACGCCCGAGACGTTCTCCACAGCATCGATCCAGGCCTCCTCGATTGGGTCCGAGTAAGATGGGGTTGGAGGATCGCCGATGCATCGGCGATGCGGCTCGATGCGGAGCCCGATTGTCTCCACGCATCGGCGATGCATCGGCGACGCATCGGCGATGCGGCGCGATCCTCCGACCCCACCTGCTCGGACCCCATCTAGGAGGCCTCCAAGAGAGGTCACTCTGGGGTGGACAGAGCCCCCACCCTGACACGTCGATTTGTGGATTGTCCGTTTTCGGTTCTCGAGAGGGCGCCGCGGCCGTCAGTTCCCAGGCTTGCGCGCCCGCCAGGTCTGGGCCCGAGGTCGTTTTCACCAAACCACGTCTTACTGAAGGGGGTTCGGTCCATCCCTGAATCTCGCTCGGAGGAGGAGGAGGAGATTCTCGATCTGTCCTCCTTCGAACTCGTCTTCGTCCTGACCTCGCCTTCGCACAGGGCCCCCCCGCGCGAGCCATTTTGGCTCGGGGCCCCGGCGCGGCGGCAGGGCCCGGGGGGGGCCGCCCGGGGGCGCCGCGGCGCCCGAGGAGGCGCGGCTGGCGCCCTCTGCCGCGATGAGCGGGACCTCATCGGGCGTGCGAAGCTCCTCCTCCTCCCTTCGCCTCCTCCTCCTCCTCCTCCGCCTCCTCCGCCTCCTCCTCCCTTCTCCTCCTCCTCCGCCTCCTCCTCCCTTCTCCTCCTCCGCCTCCTCCTCCTCCTCCTCCGCCGCCTCCGTATCCATTTCGGCTCAAGCCGTTTTGGCTCAGGCCACTTTGGTTCAAGCCATTTGGGCTCAAGTGAAGCATTTCCCAAGGCAGCTGGCCGTTCAGCTCTGTTCCTTTCCATACCCACAGGTCCGCCATGGCCGCCCAGCCTGCGGTGCCGCTCCATATCAGCAGAACGAAGTTCACCTGCGCACAATTACTAATTCAACTAATTCAATTGCAGGTCTTTGGATTGGCTCTTCTCTCGCTTGGCGTCGGACAGGCGGTACGTGGTCTAGCTCAGCTCAATACTTCCGAATGTATTCATACTTTGCCTTAGCATCTTCCCGGAACGAGTCCATGAGCAGAAGCCAAGCCAGTGGACTCCGACGCGATCGACGCAGACACAGTGAAAAGGCGCAGTGATAGAGATAGAGACCGTGACCGTGATCGACACCGCCGACGCGATCGGGATAGACGCCACCATTCTTCTTCTTCCGAAGGATCACGCAAGCCGCCCAAAGGACATAATGGACGATCTGAAGGACCTATCGGACGCGAAGCCTCTGGGGACCCTCAAGGATTTAACTCAACTGCTACTCAAGAAGCCTGGCAACGAGCCGCTCTGGAAGAATTGGGTGCAGCACCTACTTCCCCCTCTCAAGAGCAAGCATAGTGGCAAGCCCATCAAGCACAGCGAGAACGAGATTGGCGCGATGCTCAATAAGCCCACCAAGCTCATGAAACCGCCCGACTTGCAGCAGAAACTGATACGGCTCAACAACACTGGTTGGTACATCAAGCCGCTCAAGCAGCTCAGCAGCGCTCTCCTATTACAGCATCACCAACTGCCGCCGCAGTCAGCTCTGGACCAATGGCATTAGCTTCAGCACCAGCTCCAGCAGCAGAAGGCGCAGCCACGCCTACAGGAACACCTTGGCCGCAGTCAATTCTCGCCCCAGATATTCAGCACGAGCTCGAGCATACCATGGCATCGCAGGTCGCCGCCATCAACGCAGCCGTCGGCAACGCCGTCTGAGTCTCGCAGACTCAATTTCTCGCCGCACTACAGCGACACGGAGCAGCTACTACCCGCATATTAGATGGCCAAGAGCAAGATCTCATGGGAATCAAGTCCGCACAAGCAAAGCAAGAAGCCCAGCACCAAGAGATCTGGAGTGCATTCCAGCGTGTCAGCCAGCAGCTCAGCCTCGGCGAAGCAGAGGTACCCATTTTGGACATGGCCAAACTATCGGACGGGGATCGCGAGCCAGATCCCGCCATCTTCGTTCTCTCCAGCGCGCAGCCCGTCGCCACTGCCGCCGTTCGCACCTCCATCGCCGAGTGGCTCGACGCAGCAGAAGTTGCTCCGCAGCGGCTTCATATTCATGGAGAAGGACCGAGACGGCGTTTCATCTTACAGCTCCTTGGAGGCCGCTCAGACGCCATCGCCAAATCAGTGGCCCCTGCGCGGGCACTTCAGTTACCAGGCCGTGGTGGCTACAGACAGTTCACCGTGCAGACGCCAACCAACAGTGTCATCAACAATGGCGAGTACGTTCCGCTCTACGTCAACCCCGACAAGAGCATCGAGCGCATCAGGATGGAAACTCAATCTAAAAAGCTACTCTCCCTCTGTCAGGCTCATTACCCCACGCGCAATTGGCGCCCGCGTCGTGATCAAGGGCGTATATTCTGCAACGCCATCCCCACCGCCAAACCGGAGCTCGCTAGCATGGGCGCGGCAACCATCATTCGCTGGAATCAAGATGCGCTGGCCAAGATTCCCATCAACAAGGCCGCTATCGCTGCAGAATTTGCCGCTCTCTACAAAGCCGAGGATGCAGTGCAGTGGCTTTAACGCTGGTCGCCATGGCGGACGACTGCAACTTATGCTGATCACGCGTGCTTTCTTGGACCTGACGTACCCGCAGGGCAGCGACCGCATCCTCTACGGCACCTTCGACCAGCACTTGAACAGGGTCCACCGTGTCCTGCCGCTGCTGGCGCTCCACAGTTTCCTGATCACGTTCCGCGTGAACCCTGGCAAGCTCCGCGGCATCATAGGTCTCATCCTGCACAAGCCGTGCCGCGACGACAGGCGCACGGGGGTCGGGGCGCCCCTGTTGCCCCCGAGGGGCTGGAGAGCCCCCCCAGTTTTTTTTTTTGGTTGTTTTTTTCTTTCCTCCACGGGCCTGGAGAGCCCCGCAGCGGCATTTCTTTCCCAGCGCGACCTACTTCACCCAGCTCAAACCCTTCTTCTTCCAGAGCAAGATCGTCTTCCCAAGACCGACGAGACTCTGGTGGCCTCAGTCTCGGGATTCAGTTCATCATCGGGCAACGCCTCTTCTTGCAGTGCCAGCAGCTCATCTTCTTCTTCCTCGTCCAGAACATCTTCGCGTACTCGTCGTACCAGGCCTACTACCTCAGAGGCCGCAGGCAGCTGATCTCTTGGAATGCCAGAGGCCTTCTTTGTCATGATGGTTGCAAGAGACGGGGGAAGATAAGGCATACTACTCCCTTCATGCGCAAGCAGGCCCTGGTCGCCCTGCAAGTACACGGCGCTCAATTGATCTCGAAGCGCACATCAGCACACTTCCGTATGAGTACCAAGTACATGTCAGCCGCTGCGCCCTCAACCGTGGCAGTGGGGGGGCTTTCTAGTTCCGACGCCCACATCGACCTCTGCATCAACGTCGCTCTGGCCAGTTATCCGCGGACGAGTGGCCGTCCTGCGCGTTGCTAATCACACTGCGGGCTTCGAGGCGCTCATTATGAACGTGCGCAATCATGACTTGGTGGCAGCAGACATGGACAGAGTGGCCGAGGCGTGGCGCGCCTCGCGGAGCTGGGCAGCAGCAGCGCCCCAGCAAAGACTCTTCATCGCCATGGGCGGCTTCAGTGCCAGTGCCGTCCCCTCCTACAACTTCAAGGATCCTTCTGCGCGCTGGCGGCATATGGCGCCTGGCCGACAATGTCAACGAGAGCAGGCGCGGTGGCGCCAACTCTTTGCCTCGCTCACAGAGATCACGCACGACCTCCCCGCGCGCTTCTCGGCCAGCGCGCAAGCGGCCACGGCCGTCGACCGCATCTTCGTCTCCCTCTCGGGCATCGACTTGATGAGCGTGGACGCGCACCTGAAGATTCACAGGCCTATCCGACAAAGGCCTCCTCCTCCTCCTCCGCCTCCTCCTCCTCCTCTTCCTCCTCCTCCTCCTCCTCCTCCTCCTCCTCGACCTCCTCCTCCTCCTCCTCCTCCTCCTCCTCCCCCTCCCCCCTCCTCCTCCTCTTGCTCCTTCTCCTCGTCCTTCTCCTCCTCCTCCTCCTCTCCTCCTCCTCCTCCTCCTCCTCCTCCTCCTCCTCCCCCTCGTTCTCTTCCATCTCCTCCTCCCCCTTCCCCTCCTCCACCTCCTGCTTCTCCTCCTCCTCTTCCTCCTCCTCCTCCTCTTCCTCCTCCTCCTCCTCCTTCTCCTCCTCCTCGGGTCGCCTACGGCCCTGGGGGAAAGCGTGCACCCCTCCCCGAGGATGCCGAACTTCACCGAGACGTCGCGGATGCTGCAGAAGGAGCTGGTGAACGACTACAGCTACCAGGCGAGCGGCGCAGAGCTGCAGCTGCGTGCCGGGGCGTCCCGCGAGGGAAGCACGACGCTCGTTTTTGCCCCCGCTTCGCTCCCGAAGGCTCTCACGCAGGAGGTTTCGGCCCCAAGCGTCCGCGACGTGTAATGTCGGGGGAGGGGGGAACGAGTCCAGTCGCCAGTCTGAAGCGAAGGGCACCTGTTTCGTCGGCAGCGAGGCGGGACGATCCGCTCGGCGTGGCAGCGATGCAGGGGCACCGTGAAGCGAATCGGCCTGCATGCCGGAGGAGAGGGAAAAGGAAGGGAAGGGCGGCCGCGGGGAGGGAGATGAGGGCGAGCACTCGGAGGCGGAAGACTTCTGCCATGAGCAGCTGAGAAGAGAAGGAAACAGGGGTGCAGATCACATAGCCTTGTGATCTTTTTTATTCATTGTTTTACCGATCGGCGCGGGCCCTCGCACCCCCCCCCCATGGAGTGGATCTTGGCTGTTTTTTGGCGCTCGTTTCGAGCAGGTGGAGCCTCCCGAGTAATGGACGTCCTGTTGCAAACAGCCGTATTAAGCAGAGGTCCTGAGCCAGACCTCCCCCCCCCTTCCGCCCAACGTCGAAGCGCCGAATCAGAGAACGTTGACCTTGAAGTGCCCTCGATGTTCCTTCGGGCACTCGGGGGGGGGCGCCCCAGAGGGCTCTCTGGATCATCATCCCTCCTCCTCCTCCTCCTCCTCCTCCTCCTGCTCCTCCTCCCTGCTCCTCCTGCTCCTCCTCCTCTCCATGCTTCTCATCCTCCCCCCTTCCGCCGGCTCTCAGAGAGATCCCGCGAGCCGCTGGTGCGCACGACTCGTCCGGTCATCCTGCCCGTCGGCTTTGCGCGGACGCTCGCGCGCGGGCTGCCACCGCTAAGTCGGCCCTGTCCCTCTACAGGAGGAGTATCCAAGAAGAGTCAAACAAAACATAGTCTGGGGATGATCTTGTGACTACTGCTGACATTTTTTGAATATTTGTTGGCTACTTTTTGTTTGTTGCCCAAGATTCGCCTGTATGGGGGACGTGCCCGACCTAATGCCAGCGCAAGTTCGAGCGCAGCCGCCCTCTGTTTCCGCGCGGTGCGCCGCGGGGCATCAAATGCGAGGCGGGGGGCTGAATCTATCCATACCCACCGCCTGGGAAATCGACTTTCTGGGTCCCCAGGCGGCGGCGGATGTGTGCATATACATATATATATATATATATATATATATATCATATATCATAGATACCCCTTTATCTGATCCCCTGGAGATCTAGCGGGCGTGGCCGAGGGGCCGCGGGGGGGGGGGGGGGGGAGGGGGCTGGCCACGTCACGCGTCGCGCCGCCGCCTTCCGGGACTGCCGAGAATGGGGCGGGCCGTGCGGGACGCAGACTGTGACGCGACCAGGGAGGGGGGGGGGGGGGGGGGCTGGCCACGAGTGCGATCGCTAGGGGGCCACATGCGAACCCTACCCCTTTCCCCCCACGATTTCTCAGGGGGAAGGTGGGGTTCACTCCATTCGGGAGCTCCCGAGCGAAGTGAACCCCACCCTCCCCCTCAGAAATCGTGGGGGGCAGGGGTAGGGTTCGCATGTGGCCCCCTCATCGCGAAACGTAAGGAGACGGGGTCGTAGTCGGGCCCCCCGGGGCCCAGAAGCATATGCGAATCCACCGCCTCCCGAGTCCCCCCGAGTGGCATCGATGCCCCGGGCGGCCGCTCTGGACGAGTCCCCGACGGGCAAACCGGCGACGCCCCCCCTCCTCGTCCGTCGCGCAGCCGGTGCCCTGACCCTGAGGTCCAACGTCGCCTGCGAAGCAGTGGCAACGTCGCGAGGAATCACGGGGCACAGCCCCAGGCCCCTCATTTTTCTGCGGCACTTTTTTTTTTCGAGGAGGAGGAGGAGGAGGAGGAGGAGGAGGAGGGGAGGAGGAGGAGGAGGAGGAGCGAGGAGGGGGAGGGGGAGGAGGAGGCGGAGGAGGGAGGAGGAGGAGGAGAGGAGGAGGAGGAGAGGAGGAGGAGGAGGAGGAGGAGGAGGAGGAAGGAGGAGAGGAGGAGGAGGAGGAGGAGGAGGAGGAGGAGGAGGAGGAGGAGGAGGAGAGGAGGACGGAGGAGGAGGAGGAGGAGGAGGAGGAGGAGGAGGAGGGAGGAGGAGGAGGAGGAGGAGGAGGATGAGGAGGAGGAGGAGGGAAAGAGGAGGAGGAGGAGGAGGAAGGGGAGGAGGAGGAGGAGGAGGAGGAGGAGGAGGAGGAGGAGGAGGAGGAGGAGGAGGAGGAGGAGGAGGGGAGGAGGAGGAGGAGAGGAGGAGGTAGGAGGCAGAGGAGGAGGAGGAGGAGGAGGAGGAGGAGGAAGGAGGAGGAGGAGGAGGAGGAGGAGGAGAGGAGAGGAGGAGGAGGAGGAGGAGGAGGAGGAGGAGGAGGAGGAGGAGGAGGAGGAGGAGGAGGGAGGAGGAGGAGGAGAGGAGGAGGAGGAGGAGAGGAGGAGGAGGAGGAGAGGAGGAGGAGGAGGAGGAGGAGGAGGAGAGGAGGAGGAGGAAGGAGAGGAGGAGGAGGGAGGAGGAGGAGGAGGAGGGAGGAGGAGGAGGAGGAGGAGGAGGAGGAGGAGGAGGAGGAGGAGGAGGAGGAGGAGGAGGAGGAAGGAGGGAGGGGGAGGAGGAGAAGGAGGAGGAGGAGAGGAGGGGAGGGGAGGAGGAGGGGGAAGAGGAGAAGGAGGAGGAGGAGGAGGAGGAGGAGGAGGAGGAGGGGGATGAGGGAGAGGGGGAGGAGGAGGAGGAGGAGGAGGAGGAGGAGGAGGGGGAGGGGGAGGAGGAGGAACCTGATAATTATCGATCTCCGAGGGCCCCGGGGCCCGCGGCCTGGCGAAGTCGCCCAGTATACAGAAAGCATCGGGCCGCAGGGTGTGGGCCACGCACAGTGGAGGTCGAAGAAGCAAAAACGCCATAAACAATAGGTCGGGCACGTCCCTTTACAGGAGGGATATTCCCAAATAGTCCAAACATAGTCTGGAGACGATTTGGATTGTTTTTGCATAGTCGTGTTTTTTTGTTCGTCCAAAATCCGCCTGTAGGGGGATGCCCGACCTAACATAAACATCCACTTTTGACGCTCGCGCGGATGTCTTAGATATGCGCTGTACCCACTCCCTGACGCGCGGAGCGCGCCAGGGGCGGCGCCGGAGGCGCCGCCAGGGGGTCCCAGCGCGGATCCAAGAAGGCCGTGCGGAGCGCCAGAAGTTTATGCTTATGCTGTTTTCCCTTCTCCTAGAAGGGTAGGGGGCGGAAGGCTTCTGAGAAGCAGCCTCCTTCCGAGAAGCCTTTCCCCCTCCCCCTGCTCCCCACTGCGCGTGGCCAAGAGGTGGACGGCATCCACGGCGTGGACAGCCAGTATGAGTTCCACCACGTGACCTCGCAGCCGCCGCCGAGCTCCTACATGCAGCGCACGGGCATGGGCATGGCCAGAGGGCAGGTGGGCACCGCCGCGGGCCGCACCGCCGTGCCGCAGAGCCGGGGAGGCTTCGGCGGCCGAGGCGGCACCGAGATCGCGCGGCCCAGGAGAAGGAGGAGGAGGAGGAGGAGGAGGAGGAGGAGGAGGAGGACCAGCGTAAACCCAAGAGTCATCCACGATGCTGGAGTAAACCCTCCCTCCAAGCTCCCTCTTCATGCGCCCCATACAACGGTTCATGTTCACAGAGGGAATGGCCTCGTTGGAAGACAGCCGTTTGAAAACCCTGACGCATGCGAAACAAATGTCTTCGGGATTCCAACGCCACGGATCAACCTGATTGTTGCGTTTTACCAGAATCGTGCCAGAACGCCATTCCAGGGACTTCAGCGCAGCAAATTAATTAAGTTGTTGCACCTTCATAAGCCTGAATATTTCCAGACACCCTTTCTGGTACATTGATCATGGGAATCCGTAAAACTCGTGCAAATTTTGAAAACGAATGTGCGCGGCGCGAGAGCCGTATTTAGAAAAGGAACCGCCCTCAATCCGTGAAACTCTCGCACATGTTTAAAACGAGTGTGCGCGGCGCTACGGCGAGAGCCACATTTTGAAGACGGGTCGCCCTCAATCCGTGAAGCTCTTGCATGTGCGCGGCGATAAGGCGAGAGCCACATGGTGAAAACGGGTCGCCCTCAATGCGTGAAACTCTTGCAAATGTTTATAACGAATGTGTTCGGCGCTACGGCGAGAGCCACATTTTGACAACCATCCGCCCTCAATCCGTGAAGTTGTTGCAAACTTTATAATGGAATGTACGGGGCGCAAGGCGAGAGCTACATCGTGAAAACGACCCGCCCTCCATCTGTGGAGCTGTTGCTAATAATGTTTAAGCTCCAGGGTCATGCGTGATGAGGAAGTCTCAGGGGAAACGCCCGGCCCGCCTTAAAATTTTGCCTCGGCGTGCGATAGGGAGAACTTATTCATAAGAGAAAGGAATGGAGATGGAGGAGGAGGAGGAGGAGGAGGAGGAGGAGGAGGAGGAGGAGGAGGAGGAGGAGGAGGAGGAGGAGGAGGAGGAGGAGGAGGAGGAGGAGGGAGGAGGAGGAGGAGGAGGAGTACGAGGATACGGGGATAAGGCATCATTCTCACTGCTTCCAAGGCTACCTGCTTAGCTACTCAGCGCCCGCATGGGCACCTCATCTTTTATCATTTCTTGCTGCATCTCTTACGTCTGCACTGACAGCAGCCTTGATTTGTTACTACAGGCCTAAGTCGGTGTATTCTTTTTCCCCACATCCTGAGTGGGGTTCTTGTTTTCCCATAACACCCTCTCCTTCCCACCCACCTCCCGCTCCATCTTCCATACAGCACAATATTATTCCTACCACACACACCATAGCATACCATAGTCCCACCACACCTACCATACCATACCATACCATACCATACCAGACCATACCATACCATACCATACCATCCCATACCAGCGTGCCCTGCGATGCGAGGAGGGTCGGAATACCATACTATTTACAATGGTTCGGCCCCCCACCACTCCAGGGAGGCCCCGCCTGAGCGAGGAGCGGTATCGGAATACCATACTATTTACATGGTTCGTGCCCTCCCACCCTCAGGGAGGGCCCCGCCTGAGCGAGGGGGTATCGGAAGGGTATCGGAATACCTACTATTTACATGTTTCGTGCCCCTCCCACCCCTCCAGGGAGGCCCCGCCTGAGCGAGGAGGGTATCGGAATACCATACTATTTACATGTTTCGTGCCCCTCCCACCCCTCCAGGGAGGCCCCGCCTGAGCGAGGAGGGTATCGGAATACCATACTATTTACATGGTTTCGTGCCCCTCCCACCCCTCCAGGGAGGCCCGGCCTGAGCGAGGAGGGTATCGGAATACCATACTATTTACATGGTTTCGTGCCCCTCCCACCCCTCCAGGGAGGCCCCGCCTGAGCGAGGAGGGTATCGGAATACCATACTATTTGCAAGGTTTCGTGCCCCTCCCACCCCTCCAGGGAGGCCCCGCCTGAGCGAGGAGGGTATCGGAATACCATACTTTTTGCATGGTTTCGTGCCCCTCCCACCCCTCCAGGGAGGCCCCGCCTGAGCGAGGAGGGTATCGGAATACCATAATATTTACATGGTTTCGTGCCCCTCCCACCCCTCCAGGGAGGCCCCGCCTGAGCGAGGAGGGTATCGGAATACCATACTATTTACATGGTTTCGTGCCCCTCCCACCCCTACAGGGAGGCCCCGCCTGAGCGAGGAGGGTATCGGAATACCATACTATTTACATGGTTTCGTGCCCCTACCACCCCTCCAGGGAGGCCCCGCCTGAGCGAGGAGGGTATCGGAAAACCATACTATTTACATGGTTTCGTGCCCCTCCCACCCCTGCAGGGAGGCCCGCTGAGCGAGGAGGAGTATCCGCCACACCATACTATTACTATGGTTTGTGCCCCCTCCCCCTCAAGGGAGGCCCAGCTGAGCGAGGAGGTATCGGAAAACCATATATTTACATGGTTTCGTGCCCCTCCCACCCCTCCAGGGAGGCCCAGCCTGAGCGAGGAGGGTATCGGAAAACCATACTATTTACATGGTTTCGTGCCCCTCCCACCCCTCCAGCGTCGCGAGGAGGGCATCAAGAAAATAGGTCCCACGAAACCGTTAATCTCTTTATGTGGGGAATTCCGTTAGCATAATTTCCATCTCGATGCCTCACTGGAACGCTACAACCAAGACGTTCCAGTTCGTCCAGCGTGAGAAAAAAACGATAAGGAGGGAGGAGGGTGGGGGGAGGAGGAGCATCCCCAAACGACCCTCCCTGACCAGCGGCCGAGGCGGCACCGAGACCGCGCGGCCCATGACCTCGAACCGGGCAGCGGGCTACACGGCGGCCAACAAGGCTCGGAGGAGGAACACGTAGTGATACCGCTGCCCTTGTCTCGTTTTCGTTTTTTTGTTACTCCCAGGAGGCTCTCGTCGCCACGGCTGGATTCTTGTCGAAATCGTCGTCAGAACGCACCCGGGAGAGGTCCGCGGAGTTGCGGCGGAGGAGGAGGAGGAGGAGGAGGAGGAGGCGGGGAAGCGCGGAGAAGGAGGATGAGGAGATGGAGGAGGAGATGGAGGAGGAGGAGGAGGAGGAGGAGGAGGAGAGGCGGAGGTAGGAGGCGGAGGCGAGGAGGAGGAGGAGGAGGAGAGGAGGAGGAGGAGGAGCAGGATGAGGAGGAGGAAGGGGAGGAGGAGGAGGAGGAGGAGGAGGAGGGGAGGAGGGAGGGAGGAGGAGGAGGAGGAGGAGTAGGAGGAGGAGGAGGAGGAGGAGAGGAGGAGGAGGAGGAGGAGGAGGAGGAGGGGAGAGGAGTAGTGAGGAGGAAGGAGGAGGAGGAGGAGGGAGGAGGAGGAAGGAGGAGGAGGAGGGAGGAGGCGAGGAGGAGGAGGAGGAGGAGGAGGAGGAGGAGGATGAGGAGGAGGAGGAGTAGTTGGAGGAGGGGGAGGAGGAGGGGGAGGAGGAGGGGGAGACCATGATAAGGGCGTTTCTGTTGGTTTCCCTAAAAAGGGCGGCAAGGTGTTCGACCCGATGGGCCAGGGCGACAAAGGTCCGGCCAAGCCGCTGGAGAAGAAGGCCGTGATTCGAGCGGGGCCAGGACGGGGACGAATGGCTCCCGAGTGTTCTGGACGGCTCTCAGGGTGTTCAGGAGCGCCCTGGAGCGGCCGCGGCGCTCGATGACAGATCCTCCAGAACCGCCAGATCTCAGAGATCCCCGACTTGTCCCGGTCCGACTTCGTCACGGACTTGGCTTGGTTTCAGCAGCCTTCCTGAGCCCTCCCTGCCTTCGCGCTCATCCGCTACGCTCCGGGGCCTCCCGACAGGGACGGGACTCGCGCGGAGCGGGACTCGCGCGGGGCGGAGCTCGCACGGGGCGGAACTCGCACGGGGCGGAACTCGCACGGGGCGGAACCCGCACGAGACGGAACCCGCACGAGACGGAACTCGCACGAGACGGAATTCGCACGGACGGAGAATTCCCAAGAAGAGGAGCCCGCGCGGACGGAGTTCGCACGAGCGGAACTCGCACGGACGGAACTCGCGCGGGCGACCACGCTCGACGCATCCACGCGCGGCAGAGCTAGCACGCGTGCGAGTTCCCTCCGTGCGAGGTCCGTGTGTGTGTGTGTGTGTGTGTGTGTGTGTGTGTGTGTCCCCTGTGGGCCTCCTTTTCCCTCCCCTCTTCCCTCCCCGCCCTTCGCGCCTTTGTCGTTCGTCCGTCGTCCGTCGCTCGTCGTCGTCGTCGTCGTGCCGTCTCCCGCACTCTGCCACTGGGCCCTGACTCGCTGGTACAAACAGTGTGTGTGTGTGTGTGTGGGCGCGCGAGCTCCACGGCGGGAGCGACGCCTGTGGGCGTGCAGACGCCCGCGGCAGGCGAGGCGGCCTTGCCGCCTCCGTGCCGACGCGGCGGCCCCGAGGGCGCGCGGCCGGCTCTCCTGCGCCCGCAACCGTCCGCAACCGCTCTGGCTCGAGAGGCCGGGGCCCGCGCGCGGCCCGCACGCACGAGCCCCGGCAGAGGTGGGGGGCCCGGGGCGGGGCGCGTCCCGCCTGCCGCCGCTGGGCCGAGCCGCTCCCGGGGGCGGGGGAGGCGCAGCCACACCCACTCGGCATCGTTCAACCGACCTCCTCCTCCTCCTCCTCCTCCTCCTCCTCCTCCTCCTCCGCCTCCGCCTCCGCCTCCGCCTCCGCCTCCTCCTCCTCCTCCTCCTCCTCCTCCTCCTCCTCCTCCCAAACCCTATCCAGGCCCCCACGATCTGAGCCCCCCAGTTGGGGATAACAATTACCCCTCGAAGCCCGAAGGAAACAGCCCAGATCTCCTATCTGGGGGGACAAGTCGGCCAGTGGGGCCCTTCGCTTGCCCCCTGCGACAGCCTGGGAGGTGGCAGCGCACCGCCACCACCACCACCTCCCAGGGGGGATTGAGGATGAGCTGGTGTGCGGGATGCGGGTGTGCACGATGTCCCGCGAGAGCGCCCGAAACGATGTGCAGCACCACCACCCCTGACCAACCTCTGCCTCCATCCTCCAGGTGGTCGTGGTGGTGGTGCGTTTACTTCTCCCCAGGGGGTGGCGGAGGGGCGGAGGGGGCCAGTCACGTCACGATCCGCGCAGGGCGCTGGCCAGGACGGCTTCAGAGCGGCTGGCCCCTCAACGGCGCCCGCGCGAATCGTGGACGTGCGGGGCGGGGGGGGAGGGGGAAGGGGGAGAGGAGGTCGAGGCCGGTCCGGTGTTCTCGCGAACAGTGAGAAAAACATGGGAGGGGGCTCGGGGCCGCTCACGGGGAAGGGGGGTCGGGGGGAGGGGGGAGGGGGGGATGGGGAAGGGGGGAGGGGGAGCAGGGGGAAGGGGGAGGGGGGTCGCGGGCCGGTCACGGGCGCTATCGGAATAGTGGAGAAACGCAGGGGTCCTCTCTGCCGCCGCCCCGCGCCCGCGGGGCGTCCCCGTGCGGAGGCCGCGGGCGGGGCCGCGCACGCCGGGGTCGCGACCCTCGGCGCCGCAAAGGCTCCAAACATTTTTTATTGTTGTCATTTGCGATGTAATCAGGAGCTCGGCGGCGAGCGAGGGGGGGAAGGGAGAAGGAGAGGGGCTTCTCAGGAGGCGGTGGGACTTCTCAGAAATCCTTGGACTCTGAGAAGTTTTTTGTGTCTTCGGGGAAGGCTCAGAAAACTTCTCAGACGTCCGGGGGACTTCCGAGCCTTCTGAGAAGGCCCGCCCCTTCTCACTTCCCCCCTGGCTCGCCGCCTAGAAGAACCCCTAGCCCTAACAACACGATGAAGACGTGGCATCGCTGAGGTCCCCGTCTTCGCAGTAGGGATAATTGCCAATTCTGGGCGGTCTGGTCTGATGCGGCTGCAGAGAAGAGACCCCTCATCCCTGATGTCTTCGGCCCTTCCGACTTGGGCCCCCTCCCCAAGGGTTCGGGGTCCTGTTTTGACGGATCAAAGGGAGGGGCCGCCTCGGTCTCAGGAGGGGCTCTGGCTTTCGGGCGGCCAGTTGGCTCGTGGGAGGGGCTCGGAGCACACACGGGGTGACTTCACGCTTGTGAGGAGTCCGGCGCAGGGATCGGAGGAGCCCCGCGGATCTGCAGGGTCCGCGCCGCACACCGCGAGGCGGTCCTCTGTATCCTCTGACCGGGCGGCGTTTCGTGGAGCGAAGATCCATGGCCGACTTGGGTCCCCCCCCCAAGGGTTAGGGGTCTGAAGGGCTCTCCCCAACTTGGGCCCTCCCCAAGGCTCTGAGGGTTCGGTTCCCCTAACTTGGGCCCTCCCCAAGGGTTAGGTCCCCTCCCCAAGGGTTAAGGGCTCCCCAACTTGGGCCGCCTCGGTCTCAGGAGGGCCTCTGGCTTTCGGGCGGCCAGTTGGCATCCAGGCCAGGGAGAGCCTCCGTGGCCGAGAGGCCCGCCTCGGCCAGCCGCGCCCCTCCGCTCCCTGCCCGGGCCGGCCCCCCTGTGGGGAGCTCGGTGGCTGTGCAGTGGAGACCCATGCCAGGAAGCACCATTGGCTGCTTATGATGATGATGATGATGATGATGATGATGATGATGATGATGATGATGATGATGATGATGATGATGATGATGATGATGATGATGATGGTGATGATGGTGATGATGGTGATGATGATGATGATGATGATGATGATGATGATGATGAGGAGGAGGAGCAGGAGGAGGAGGATGATGATGATTATTATCATTAGAGTGGCCTCCAGGGTGCCCTGGGGTTTCCTGAGTTTCGATGGTTCTGCGATGGAAAGCGCGATGTACCCACACCCAAGACCAAGGGACGTCCTGGGATCTCAGGGTTGGGCTTCTGGTGGAAGGTTTCTTGTGGTCGAGCCCCCACTGTAGTCCAGAACGCGGGGGCGTGGGTGTGGACACGTCCGTCGCCCGTGAGCTGCTCGTCCAGATCTCCTCCGATCTGGTTTCTCCCGTCCGCGGCTCCGGAGTTCAGTCGGGCATGTCCCTCTACAGGAGGACCATGCAAGAATAGCCAAGACATGGTATGATGACGATGTTTTTTAATTTGAGCGTTTTTGTTTATTCTTTTTTTGTTTCTGTTGTTTTTGCCGTTTCTTGCTTTTTGTGTGTATATTGTTGGGCTACTTGTCATTGTTCTTCCAAACTCCGCCGTGTAGGAGATACGTGCCCGACCCAACTCCAGAGGCCCCGGCCGCTTCCCTGGGGGGCAGTCCTGCGCCCCCGGGCCCACGCCTGCTTGGCTCCTCCTGGGGCCCGTAGGTCCGGGCCCCGGGGGCCGGGCTCGAGGACCGCCGCCCCCGACGGGGGGACTGCTTAAGTCGGGCCTGTCCCCCTACAGGTGGACTTTCGACGAAAAATGAAAAAGACCTTCAAAAATAGTCAAAAGATAGTTCAAAAATAGTCGGGGGGCTATTTGTTGAGTATTTTTTGGCCATTTTGGGGCATTTCTGGGATATTTTTTATTTCTCGTCGAAAATTCCCTTGTAGGGGGACAGGCCCGACTTAAGGAGGGGCCAGATCGCCGGACATCGGGGCTTCTGCAGAGGCCTCCCGAGTGGGGTCCGAGTGGGTGGGGTCGGAGGATCGCTCCGAGTCGCCGATGCCTCGGCGAGGCATCGGCCATGCGTCGGCGATGCATTGGCGATGCATCGGCTGCGTCGGCGAAGTCTCGGCGCCGTGGGCGTGGAGAGAGGCTCTGGATCCACGTCGAGCCGCATCGTCGATACATCGGCGATGCGGAGCGATCCTCCGACCACATCTGCTCGGACCCTGTCTGGGAGGCCTCGCTTCTAGGAGGCGACGCCCCTGCGCGCGGCGACCATGCCCAAATGGCACGCGTTGTGGCCCGAGGCCTAGCTGCCTCGATGCGCACGTGCCGCCGTGCAGCACGCACCCCGTCCGACACGCCTCGCGCACGTGTTGGTCCCACGTTCTGGCGGACGCGCCGGGCCGGACCTTCGTTCCCAATCAGCGTGTTGAGCTCCAGATCGACACGCTACGGTCGGACGGGACTAGTGCGCAGATAAATCCGTTTCAAAGCGTTCTGGAACGATCTCAGAGCGTTCCAGCACGCTCCGAGAAGGCCGCGGCGCCCGAGACCTCCTCCAGACCTGCCGGACCACAGGAATTCTCGACTTCTACCCTCGCCCGATTTTGTCATCGTCCTGGCTTCGTCTTATGCGGAAGGAGGAGGCGGAGGAGGAGGAGGAGAACGAGGAGGAGGAGGAGGCGGAGGAGGAGGAGGAGAATGAGACGGACGGGGAGGACGGGGATGAGGGGGAGGAGGGTGATGATGATGATGATGATGATGATGATGATGATGATGATGATGATGCTGATGCTGATGCTAATGCTGATGCTGATGCTGATGCTGATGCTGATGCTG